TAATCGTTTTGGCAGCTATTCGAGTATTGCATTGTCTATCGATTCCCCCACGACGCCGGCGTGTATCGTGAATGTTTTAACTTCGACTCTCGTAAGGGGATACTTGGCGGTAGTTTAACTCAACATTCTAGCGTGTGCGAGTAGCACACCCGGACTTATTTTTGCTCTTCTTACGAGTAAACTGGCATCGAGAATACGTATTTTTGACATCGTTCTAGTCTCCATAAGGCGAAATGAATCTTTCGAGCGTACGAGTATCATTCGAACTTCCACTCCGTTAATTAAAAATTTATCTTGATTGAAAACGTCTCAGTGAAGGTGACCTACGAGATCTAGCGCAGAATTTCCTTGTATCTATTTCGCTCGTCTCTCGATTGCCGTATTTGGATTTGACGAGTCTAACGTGTCGTCCATGTAGCCGGGAATATCCGCGTCCCATAAGCAAGAGGTCAGATGGGAAGTTTTTGCGGGTGAAGCGTAATTTAATAACACCTCGATGTACGTGCGGTAAGCGTAAACGTTGTTTGGTGGCGACACGAGTTTTTGATTGAAATATACGTCGATTTGGTTGAACATGAAATGCAGTAAATGATTTACGGGCCCTACTTTTGCCACGTCGGCGGCTGCGACCGATGTGCTCTCCCCGCGTTCGCTTTCTACGCGTATGCGAAGACTCAACATGGTGTGAGTGAGATCCAGATAGTCTTCTCCATGGCCGGGTATGACGAATTCTGGCCGGATGAGTCGTCCGTGAGCGAAGTTACGGGTTTGTAATAAATCCATTGCGAACTCTCGATGCAGGTTTGAGTAGGTGGTAGAGAGAAGAAATCGAGTTCGCTCTATATACACTCGCTTGAGTGGATATGAAGAAAGGACATACTTTTTCTCCAGTCACGAATTCCTATCTCGATTAAGAAAATATGTCAGATACGTCGCGTTTCTTGACTCGATGTTTCCTAATGGATGATTTTTTAGTTTTTCTTCCTGCAGCGCGAATTTTCTTTTTCTTCTTCGTCACTTTTTTGCTCTTCTTCCCTGTGCTACTTCTCGATGATTTTCTTTTGACGTCGTTTACGAAGCGCGATACGACTATTCCGACCTCCGAATGGAAACTGAAGTGCTGAGGACTTTGCGGATATTTTATATCCCGACTCCCTCATCAGGGAACTTATATTTCCTTTAGCTTTTCTCTTCAGATTACCCCTAGATTCCGCGAGCCGACTTTTGATAGCTTCCTTCAACGGCTTATTATTTTTGATGTCTTCTATTACGTTAATTCCCGCACGTAAAGCTTCTTTTCCGACAGCATGTGCACCTTTACCTAGATAAGGTAATATTTTTCTGAATAGTCCACCGAGAAAGCTTCCGATTCCATGTCCGCGTTGATAGGGCGAACCGACGAAAACACGTGGAATTCCACCTCGGCTACCGAAGTCCCGCGCATCAAAATACTCCTCCTACTCCATAGCTAGATTCTAACTAAAGACTGTCCCTATATCGACACGCTCGCGTATACGAAAGAAAGTTATTGCTTACGTTTAAAGTGCAGCGTCACTGGCAGCGTTCCGAATTCGAATGGAATTTTTTTTCCAATATGACCTCTTATATCTATTTCGATTGTTCTGAAATTCATTCATCGCAATGGGATATAATTTGGAAATGAGAAATGGTTCACCAAATTTGCACCAAATGCGTAATTATGGCTGCGTATCTCGACCGGAACTATCCTGAGAAGAGGAGTACGTACATCACCTGTTATATAAGGCTCACAAATATCGCAATAAACAAACATTTTATCAGGGATACTGCGCCACAAACTATAGGGTTCGCTACTCCAGTAACCATCTGCAAGTCATTCTCTCGTTTCCTTATTGAATCCGTGAGTAAGCAAAGTTTTCTCTTCTGTTTCATTGGAATTAGGTTTACGTATCGCGAGCTTGGAATAAAATGGGTGATTTGCGGAAAGTGCTGATGAGAAACCTAGTATTCTTAGAAGATTATCGGAAAAGTTTGTATGTAGCATTTTGCACTTCTCAACGTAGTTATTACTTATCAAGACTTTGCCGCCAGACGCTTTTTTCAGTTCAAAATAAAAATGCGATTCGGTAAGTTTACACGCGGTATTAATCGCATCAATAAGCTCATAGATATCGTTGTAAATTCCATTTGGAAATATACCTTCTTTCGCCGTAAACGCACCTTTCGTCCCCTCATTGGGTTTAACATCGACGAAGCTGATCACATTTTCGTTATGACATATGTGTAAAAAGGTACAGGGAAATTGAATCTCGGTTATCGCAACCTCCCATGTAACACGATAGAGTGAGGTAATTCCGTGATGAAGGACGAAGTTGTATTATCCGGAAAATGACGCATACTGCTGTTACTCGGAAGTACCAGAAAAAATTGTTCCTCCTCCATCACGAAGAGAAATTAAACTCGAAGCCGGAATCCAACTATCAAACTTACTGGGATAACCGCGCCAACTAACAAGCACTTGCTGATTAGCTCCTCGTCCTCTGTTCTTTATCACGCGATCGACGATAAACTGTTCTTCCTCGACGTTTTTCTCAACTCGAGCTAATTCTTGCTCATAAAAAATACCGTCTATGACTTCACCTGCTAAATCTCGCAGTTCGTACACGCGAGGGTTTCGCCAATCGAGAACACGGTAAATTTGAAATATCTCCTCGCTCCACTTTGCCTCGTATCCTTTCTCGAAGGCACCTTTCGCTCTACTGACACGAACGTGATCTCCGACACGATATTTAACCTTTCGCACCCGTTTCTCTAACGTTTCGTTTTTCCAACGACGAGCTATATTTTCACGAGCGATACGTGCGTTTTCTCTCTTTACTACCGCAGGTTGCATTCTCGTGGACGAGTGACGCGGGTGATTGTAAGCGTGTACAATGTCCTGCAGAACATCGATGTAGCGTCGCGTATTTTTATGCGTAAAATAACGCCACATTCGTTCCTTCAGTGTTCTGTTGAATCGCTCGACGATGGCGGCTTTGACGTCTGGATTGCGCGTTACCCGAAAACAAATGTTGTTTTCTTTAAGAAATTTCTGCATTGATTGTGCGACAAATTCTTTACCTTTGTCCGTTTGCAGGTATACGGGTACTCGTCCTTCGCTTTTCGCTAGTACGCGTTGAAAAGCTTTTATCGCGCAGTTACTCGTTTTGTCGCGTAACGGTTCTACCCATACGTATTTACTTAGTACATCGATAATCACTAACAGATAGGAATAACCGTCGTTGTAACTTTTTAGATTTCGGAGTTCGATCAAATCTGCCTCCCACACATCGTCGATGTTCGTTACGTTGTAATGCAATCGTGGAAATTTTCTACGCAATGGTCGGTGCAACGTGTACGCGTCTTGCGATTCGAGCCAGCGCACGACTTCTCCCCGTGAGAAATTCGGTTTAACAGCACGAGTTAAATTATTCACCGCCGAATAGCCCGCGTTATGCGACGGATCGTAGTATAATTTTTCAAACGCCATCGTATTATCTTAGTTTTTTCCAACCGAGTAACCGATTTTTTCCCGTTTGTAGAGCTGTGGGGGTATCAGTTTTTCGTGTACGAGAAAGAATCATCGAACTTTCCTCGTCTGTTTCTTCTTCGTAATTTTTACGTTTTTCTCTTTCCTCTCGATATAATCGGCGTGGAACTTGAGCTTTCGATATAAAAGCCATGGAATTCGCCCGAGGTCGAAGTTTTACGCTGTTTACACCAATACCGTGTGAGGACAATAATCTTTTATTTCTCACCAGCGCAGAAGGTATGTTCAACGTACGGAGTAATTGCGCGAACTGACTTCTACCTACTGCTTTCACAGTTTTTCTCTCGCGTATCGCGTCGTTTATCAAGTCAGTGATATTCGATTCTATCACGACGTTACCATCTATAGTCATGATTCCATGCTCGTCCCATCTAATTCTATCAGGCACAGCATTTCGAATCAAATGTTTCATCAGTAAGTGTGCATGCTCACGATAAGATTTCGGTACGCTTTCCACTATTTCCTCAATGCTTTTCATCACATGACTATTCTTCGCATGATTATGCTCGCTCGAAATTTCGAAATTTTTCGTAATAATACCGGTGTTACTGACGGAATGCGCTGACGGTATATCGGATGTTTGCGTGAGATCGTGAAAAACGTCATCGTTCGTCGTCTCGTTATCAGCGGAGGCATCTCGTGTAGCGTTGTCTTCTGCGTTTTCGTTTTCGCTGCGTGCGTCTTTCTGCCTTCGCGTTTCTTGGATAAATCGTGGGTATCACCATAATGCCTCTCTGTACATTTTCCATCTCTCACTCTCGTCACGTGGCCAGTCAGAATTAAGAATCCGTCCCATCTTCGCATCGAGTCGTGTTAGATGATTTCCGGGAGTTTGCGCTGTATTATTAGTGCTCGCGGTGTAATCCGAATTTTGCGGTATTGCGATTTCCTTTGACTCTCCGTCAGCGAATGATGTCGGATTCTGACGTAACTGATGTTGCATTCTCTCGAGATTTTCCGTCGAAATTAAAACCATTTTTTGGCCCTCTCCATAGGATTTTATCCCCACTATTTCGTTCCTTCGATAATTAGTGATAATAAGGTCGATAATATAAGTCCGATAATATAAGGTAAAAATCCGCCTCGCTGCACCAACAACTTTCTTTTATCATTCCAATTACCACGTTTTGCAACGATGCAGAGGCGTTTTGTATTTGGTTAACCGATTTTTTTCACAACGTTCCAGCGAGACGTTACCTTTGAGTGTATTAAAAACACATTCACAGATACAACGAATTAATTTTTCGTCAGCGCCGCGTAAGAAAGTTGTGCGTTGATTTTTGTTCAAATGATAGAGCGCCGCGAGGAGACAGGCGTTTCTCTTACCGATCGAATGTATGGCGATTTTCGTCGCACTGTGCGATTTCTTGTTAACCACCTTCATCGCGAGAAAAATCTACGACTGACACGTACGATTACCCGTACTTGCTTTTTATACGAATTCCCTAGAAAATGATCTACGTGCCACGTAGATGTAATGAGTCGTATCCTCGGGAAAAATACATGTTCGAAATCGGTACTCGTTCGGGGTTGATTGTTTCAGATCGAGCAACAAATAACCGTGAGGCCTCGACGTAGCGTCGTAGTATGCCTCTTCTAGAAATTTCGGATCGTCGGGATAGATTTGACGCGCTAAATTACGAATTTGAGCGCGATCACTTGGATTTTTGAAAACGATGATGTAATTCGCGTTGAGTGATATATCGCGCTGACCACGTCCCTGATGGAAGAGATTCTGCGAGATAAGAATGACACTGAGATTCTTGTGATGACTTCCTTTAGTGAAAAGATCCACGATCGCGTCGCTCGACGACGATTCTCTCATAAGATCGTCGATTATCACTAATTTCGGGGAGAGCGGATCGTTCGAGTAATCCTCCGAACGAGGTAATCCCTCGCGAAATTCAATTACGTTCTTCTTCGTCGCTTTAACGTTAATGCGTCGCCAATTCTGTTCTTCGATCTCTTTTTCACGATCGTCGTATTGTAATTGTCGATAAGCTTCTTGCCACTCCGCGTAATAAAATAAACTCTCTCAAAACACACGTCGGACATGAGAGATAAATATCGGAGGAAAGTTTTTACGAAAATCGTCTTTCCGCAACCGGTAAGACCGCATACGATAGATGTCCAGGGATGTTTCCAGCGCTCGTCCATTTTGCGAAATGAACAGGCGATTACCGTGCAAGACTTCAAAAGCAAAAAAGAAAAGGGTAAAAAATGGCGCTTAACAATATTTTCAAGAATGTGCAAAGGAAAAATTTAAGCAGGGAGATAAGCTAATCGACGCGACAAGGGCCGCACGTGGCGTACCCCCGCGTACACTGTTAGAAATGTTCATTTCATTAACTTTTAATGTATATTGGTGAATGAAGTTTAATTTCTCTGTAACTGAAAGGACTATTAATGCACATGTTAATGAAATTTAAGTTTACAGTAACTGAAGAATTAAGTGTAATGAAATTTAATATACTTTTATAAATGACATTTAATTAATCGTAATTGAAATAACTTAATGTACATATTAATGAAATTTAATGTACTTTTACATTTACGAATATTAATAATATTTTAATTAAGCCTAATACTATTAACGCTTAATGTTATATATGTTTAATACGTTTCTTACATGTCATTAACGTAAATTACTTTTCAATTACAGATCTCGTACTTTTCATTAACGTGTAAATTAATTTCTACAATAATGTGTTCATTAATTTCAATACACACGTTCATCACATTTAAGACTACTGTAATTTAGTTTTTATTTACATCATTCATTACATTTAATTTTGTGCATAACCACATGCTTCCTTTACATGTTAATTAAAATTCATTGAGAAATTTCTAACAGTGTAGGCTAGTCGGGGGGCGGAGAGCACCGAGCCGCCTTCTGAGCTGCCACGTTGCGACGCGCATAAGCTTATCCGCGACGAAGTCAGCCTACAATTCTTTCGGATATGTGAGAGGACGGGGCACCGCCGCTACGAGCTTACATGCGATGCCGTGGGAAAAAAGCTTATAAAGGAGGAAGGAAGAAGGTAAAAAATTTTTCTTGTGTTTTAAATATAAAATATTTTATTTTTATATATTTATTACTTATTTCTTACAAAAAAGGGGAAAAAGAGGAAAATGAGCTTTTAAAGTTGTTTTTTATTTAATCATTTTTTGAACGCCTCGAATACAATACAATTTTATATGGTAAAAAATATATTTATATTTTACATTATAAAATTGAACAACAATTCTAATACTAAAAAGATGTATAAAACTATAAAATATTTACAAAAACAATATTCATATTTTACAAAATCTTACATTATAATTTTACATTTTTACCTAATTATACTAATGGACGGAAAACTCGACAATGTTGCTAACATAAAACGAGAGAGAAAGTTCGAGCGAGAGAAAGGTTATTCATCTACGAAACCGTATGGAAAAGAATAATGATTATTAATAAATTTACGTTTTACCAATACCGGCGCACATGACTTTGTCTCGTTTCGTGTTATAATTTCATGAAACGCAGTACGCCGAATTGCTGTAAAATGCAAATTTATCACCGCTTTCCCCGTTTGTTCTTCTGCTTCTCGCCTTTTTCTCTCATTTTCTTCAATTAATTTCTTAATACTATTAAAATATTTAGAACGATCGAATTCTTAAAATTAAGTGTTGTTCCCTTATTTTACAGACCTCATGCAAGCGTCCTTCTGGCGTACGAACGATATACGCGTAAAATTTTGGACCACCCAAACAAACGACTCGATATAACTACCGCGGCCGTAGCTTTCGAGTTCATCCGTCATATCGCCCAGAAAATTATCCGTACGCGGTTCGTACTCATTCGGCTCACCGGTACTTAAGTAGATATATGAGTCTGTATCGTAATATAAAACGCGTTTATCTAATTTTTCTAAATAATCGTATAATTTTAATCTCGCTAACGCCGTCGTATTTGCCGCGATTACGACGTTCGTCATCGGAGAAGATGCGACCGCCTCTTCACGTAGCCGCCACGAAACATACTCGTATATTACCTCGTTATTGACGGGTAATATATCAGTTACCTCATGCTCCGGACTCGTGAGTAAAGTCATTAGTCGTTGGTATGACTTTACGATCTCAGTATTAGGCAGATTGCTTCGCTGGCAGAATTTTCCCCAAAATGAATTTAGACAAAGCTTAGCGACTGAATGCAAACCGGGATTTCGAGTAATGTTATTTCTATCGAGAACGATACCCTCGGTTTTTTCGTATTCCCTCAGGAAACGTTCCTTAGCATCGTCATCGTTATCCCCGCATTCGCTCGACCATCCACTAGCTTCCTGCTTTAATTGTAGAAATGTATTTATATATTCGGCAAACAAACCTCCCTGCCGAGTATTGGGATCGTATCGTGTGACTTTATACTGCCAAATTTCACTAACGCTCGTCACGAGATAGCCCTTCTCGATGGCTTTGCGTAATTCGCAGGATACCCAAGTACCTTCGAATTCACGCTCGTCGGGACGATCGTGAGTGCACGTTTCCTGCGAGAAAGTTTCGCAGCAGCTTCGACACAGTGCGAAAAGCAGCTTTCCTCTTACTCGATACGGGAGTACCGGATGAAAGAGATTACGCGGCGGGAGCACCTTGCAGCGTACAAGACCTTCGACCGAATCAAAATTAAAATTTGGCGCTTCACCAATTAACTCGTTACAGTCCTCACCGACATAAATATCGGGGTGACCGTATCGAGGGAAAGCACCCGTTTTCAATACATACGGATACAAAGAGCATACGTCCACATAACGTATTTTCTCTGTACTCGTAATTTCATATCGGGTAGCGATGTTTCCTGTACGACCGCCGAAAAACGCATCGCGCGGGTCAAGAGGATCAGATTGTAATAGCGTGTGATTCTTGAGAATATCATGCATCTCAAGATTTTCACGCATTTCCCGGTCAAAGTTCCACTCCTATTTCTCTATAACGTGGTATCCCCGTTTTCGTAGATGATATATCGATGATAAGTCGAGTTCGTTCGTAACGCGCGTCGATCGTATCTCCACGATTCGTGGACGAAAGCGTTCTGTCGCGATTTACCTGAAAGCACGTCGGACAACCATGCCAGAAACATTCGGGGAATTGAAGTGCGTAACGCTGTATTCCGTCTGCCGATTCCGACTCGTAGTATCCGTCAACGCGCCTGCCATCAATCTCGTACTCGCGCCGACATTAGCATCACGCAAGGTATCCGACCGATGGCTAAAACCTCTTGAATGTTGTTCAGGATCATATCCTAGATAACATTCGTTAAGATCAAGGTCATTGGAGATTGTTTCTCTTATTTTCATTTTTGCACTGAAAATTCATTTTTATGTAAAAATGAAAATAAGAGAAACAGTCTCCAATGACCTTGATCTTAACGAATGTTATCTAGGATGTGAGCCTGAACAACATTCAAGAGGTTTTAGCCATCGGTCGGATACCTTGCGTAATGCTAATGTCGGCGGCGGTACCGTAACATTCGAGCCTTATAACTCGAGAAGTACTTAATGAAAAAATATTTTATTATAGTGTTTTGGAAAGCTCTCGAGACAAGCTACAAGAATATTCAACGAAAAATGGGGCTTTTTAATATTGTAGGAATCTTCAAGACGAATTCAAATCACTGTCAAAATGTCATTTTTGTTGATGTGTTATTGATTTTATTGCATATTTTATTAAATAAGTACATGTATATATACGGTGTCCAATTTTAAATGACAACCTCAAATTTCTCTTGAATAGTGCATTTTAGAGAAAAATGTTTCAAACAAATGTTTTGTGACTTCGAGGGGGACATAAAATGGTATCATTGGTTTGACCTTGGGTGGCGTCGTTAAGATCAGGGCAAGGTCACTTCGAATTTTTTAAATGGAAACTTCCATTTTTCATTATATAGTCTTGTAACTTACCTTGAGAGCTTTTCAAAACACTATAATTAAATCCATTTTCATTAAGTACTTCTCGAGTTATAAGGCTTACAAGTTACAGTACCGCCGGCATTAGTATTACCCAAGGTGTCCGACCGACGGCTAAAACCTCAAGAATTTTATTCAGGATCATGACCTGGATAACATTTTTCGAGATCAAAGTCATTGGAGGCTGTTCTTCTTATTTTCATTTTTGCACTAAAAATTCATTTGTACGTAAAAATGAAAATAAGAGGTACAACTTCCAATGCTCTTGATCTTAATAAATTTTATCCAGGCCATGATTCTGAACAACATTCAAGAGGTTTTATAGCCATTGGTCGGACATCTTGGGTAATGTTAGTGCCGACGGTACTATAACTTTCAAGCCTTATAACTCGCAAAGTATTTAATGAAAAAATATTTTATTATAGTGATTTGAAAAGCTCTCAAGGTAAGTTACAAGAATATATAATGAAAAATGGAATGTTCCATTTAAAAAATTCGAAGTGATCTTGCCCTGACCTTGACAACGCCACCCAAGGTCAAACCAATGATACCATTTTATGTCCCCCTCGAAGTCACAAAACATTTGTTTGAAACATTTTTCTCTAAAATGCACTATTCAAGAGAAATTT